CGTAAAAACCGGTTAATGTGTGTTGAAGGAGATTTATCTCAACTGTCTGTTTCTATTCCTGGCTTTTATTGATGTTTATAAACCTGAATGGAAAAACTGAGAAAAAGCCAAACACCCAAACCAGCTTCCTTGCAGTCTTCCGTCATGTTCTCGTTTTTGAAGGAAAAGTTAATTTTATGGTAGTTCTGTCAAACATAAAACATAACCTGGTTTAAACAATGAGGTATCTTTGCTCAAATGTACATTTGTTTAGACTATTGTATGTTATTTCTGTTTTAGAGGACATTTATGTGCTGCCCCTTGCAACTATTTTCAGAATTACTGATCAAAATCACTACAGTGGAATATGAGAAAACATTTACTTTTTATGTGGAAACATAACTTCTAGAAAGCAGCAGCATGCAATTGTAGTTGCAACTTGGCAGCCTGTCTGTTACAGGCATACACTTGCGTCTAAATGTTGAAGCCGTTCTGCTACACAAAACTGCATGCTATCTTGTTTTGTTCTCTTAGGCTGTGAAAACCCTCTTGAAACTGAGAGGTAAAATAGAGGTACTTTTATGGTCATTTAGGCATTCTTTCAGAAGGGCCTGCTGGGAGAATGGATGCTGCTCTTATACCTGGTAATCTTTCATTTTTCCTGAAGTTCAGTTTCATAACTTTGGAAACGAGAAATCTCTTGAGCTGTTAGCTGCTTGGAAGCAAATTATATTTAGGTGACAAAACAGGTGTGAATGGGCAGTTTGGACATGTGAATTTCTATTTACTCCCCTTTATTGTCTCTCTTGACAGTAATCATTGTACTGTTATCATAAAACATTAAGGCGATGATTCTAGCTCTGACTTTGAAGAATAATCTCAAAATGCATTTCTAATTAATGTGAAATGGAAGGGCTTGATAACAAGAGTTTTTAAAGTTTTGTAGTTCTGTAATAAGTGCTTTGTCTTGTTTATAAAATGGTGATTAAATAACCCAGAGCGCTTTCAAGGGTGTGAATTGATGGGAAGAGCTCTTCACAATTTGCTAATGTGGCTGCCATACTAAGTGATCTGAATCTGTTGCTTTTGCTCCTAAGGCATAGCTGTTGCTGTGAACTGGGAAAGTTGCACAAAAATTTGCTTTGTTTTCTGTTTCTAATTTATTCTTTATGTAGGAACATGTGGCATGATTATGTTTGGCAGGAGACGTGAATGGAGGGAAGTCTGCAAGGGGTGTTCAGTCCTGCACAGTCTGTTTTGTGCAGATAGACTTGCTAGAATTTGAAATATTAGGCAAAACCAAAGGTGGGCTTGAGTTTTCTATATGCTTTTCAGGTGGTGGAGTTTTCTGCTTTCTTAAATACGGGGATACTACAGAAGTGGTAGAACTTTCTACTGAGACGATTTTCATTAGCCACGCTGGGCTCTTCAGTTTCTCTTGTGGAAATACTGCAGTGGTTTTATCAAGGCCTTCTCCAAATCAGCAGACATTGTAATAACAAACCTGTATCAGTGAAAGCAGATGCTTTGACTAGCACGACATTAATCTTGCTGTGGAGCATGGCACGGAGCACGGTAAAGAGACCTGTTAGTTTTCTAGTATTTCCTGTGCTACTACAGTGACACTAGTGAAATGTCAGGTGAGTTCCCAGAAGAGGTGAGTAGAGACCAGCTTCTCCTCTTAGCAATGTTTTCCAAAGCAATCTCAGTGCCACCATTTAACAATTCAGTGGAGGGTTTTTTTGCGGGGGAAGGCTCTTGTTCCCTCCATTGCTTTCTTCCAGCTGCTCTAGACCTGCTTTTGCTGTGGTGATTGTGTGACCACCCGATTCACACTGAGTAGATAGAAGATCAGATGAGGGAACGTCTGAAAACTTTGTAGTCATCTAGTTAAGTTAAATGTTGAAAAAGACATCGCTGGCCAAAACTTGAAGCTTTTTGTTGCTCATAGTTGTGCTGTGTGGGAAGTTCCTCAGGTAATCTGGCATCTGTAGGTTCTCAAGGAGAAGCTGGAGAAGATCCCATTCCACAGTTCTTCCATTGGCCAACCAGGGAAAAAGGGAAAAATCCGTTGTAAGTCACCTTTACAATAGCCTCTAGACACCTAGTGCATGATCATAATCAAATAATTGTGGACACGTTCTGTGGAATATACAGGCTGTGGTGGGTTTTTTTTCTGTATTTCAGCCACTTATTTTATTAGTTTCATTTTTTTGTCCACATAATGAAGAGGCTGTAAACTTCTCAGGGGCCTCGAGATCGTATGTTTTTGCATCCAAAATGAAAAACATGTTCAAAGGCTAATCAAGGAAACAGTTTTCTTTTTTAGTCAGTTAACTATGCCAGTATGGATGAACAAGTGTAAAGTCTTTATTCTAAAGTAGAGATCTCTAGACTTGTCTGTATAGTAACTTTCTCGGCTGTCAGCTATAATTATACCTGCGACTGTTAGAACATTTACACTCCGAAACACAGGAGGAGCGTAAGTGGATTTTTGGCATGTTCTTTCTTCCTGCCTCCTGGCAGTGGTGGAAAGGAATATGTACTGAAATAGATGAATACAGGAAATGCATAAGTGAGAACTGTTCATATTGGTACCTCCGGTATCTTGCTGCACATCTGACTTCTGATGATTTGCCTTTAATGGTTTCAGTTTAACTGGCTTCTCTGAGATGAATTTCTTAAGGATTCTGTAATTGCAAACTATGCTTTCAGACCTTAAATATAATGAAAGAGTGACTGACAACGAAGAAAAACTTTGCAGAGATGCTTGGCATGGCATAGCGTGACTTGAATCGAAGTCTGGGAGAACGGATGGGAGGACCCTCTGAACTGGTAAACTGACAGATTTTATTTCAGAGCAGCTAAGTTATTCACTTTTGCTCTTGGCCAGCAACATTATACTCAATAATAGACAGTAAAAAAAGTGGAGAAAAATTAGCCATTGGTAGCCAATAAAATTCCTGCTTCTCAAAGACATCTCAAAACCTGTATGTTCTTAGTGGGCTTTTCAGAGACCTGAGACAACTAGTGACAATGTAAATGACACATGTATAGAAGGAACTTTCAAAGAGTCCTGAGGGAATGCCTCTCTTACCTCTGTTCTCTCCAATTCAGTAATTTGTCTTTAATGACTGAACAAGTCCATATTTTGAAATTAAATACTCTTTTTTTTTTTTTTTTTTTCTTTAAGAGAACATTTTGGGGAATGTGCCTTGCTTGCCTTGCTTGCAGTTTATAGTCTAGTCTCTGAAGGAAAGGTATTGCAGAAAATTCTCCTTGCAGCTGTGCCGCTTCTGGCATTAGAAACGGAGGCAGACAAATGAGGTGAAGGATGTGGCATCTTCTGGGGAATGGCTCGGGAAAATTCTCTCGTACTCTTTGTGCCCATCTCTTATGGGTAAATAAGAGCTACTGTAATCTTGAATTTACTGAAGGTAACCTTGAAGATTTTGTTTGGTTTTTTGTTTATAGCCTTTTAACAGCAACTTGTTGGGAAGGGGCCAAACCACTAGCATGGCAAAGATCTGTTGTTGTAAAGCATCTGGTTTGTGTATTGCTGCTGTAGGACAGATGATGATGGGTAGTGTGTCTATTACTGAAAGTGAGTAGAAGTGAACGTAGCAGCGTAAAACCTATCGTCCCACTGCAAATTATGCTGTATTACTTGTGCTAGCAGTGACAAGAATGGTATTAAAAGCAATGCAACCGAGTGGTGTTTTTTTCCCTGCTTATCAGATAGAAATTTGAAGTGCTAAGGAAAAAAGCCTAGATCGCGGCAGCCTCTCTCCACGAGGCTCGATGTACCTCTTTTGCAAGTCCTGGAGCTCTGGCTGAGACTGGGGAACTGCAGGGAGCTGTTTGCTCTGTTTCGCAGGGGGTGAGGCAGCACTTGACCATGGAAGACCCTGAAGAAGCCTGCTAGTATTTGAATGCAGCAACACAGAGGTTAAAAAGCAGTCTGCCAGCCCTGTTGGAGCAGTATTTTTTGGTGAAGTGGAGGAAGTGGGAAGTCAGAAACACAGAGGAGAAATATTTGTAATACTTGACTAAGCATCTACAAACTTCATAATTAGAAACTCTTAAGATCCAGTAGAAACTCCAACTGAAAATTTCCTGTCCTTTCTGTGCCTCCCAGCTGCAAGTGAGCAGCCAGAAATGGGAGTAGTTTGTAGTCTGTGGTATTTCGGTGAGGGAGGGGAAAATGTCATTGGTCCATAAATGAACATTTTTGTGTAGAAGCTGATATTGTTGCAGGGAGAGAATTGAAATAAACTGTTCTTTGCTCAAGGACATAGCAAAGGCTGTTACTTTGCTGATAAAAGACCACATGGCATTTTGATTTTTAACCTGTCTGTGTTGCAGAACTATTTGGTTTGTGAAATTTAGCTATCCAGTAGGTCAGTGATGGTGATATAGTCTGTATCTGCCTGAGCAACGTAATGAAGGCCCTCCTTTTTGCACTAGGAACATAAGCTGTTAGTCTTGCTTTTCAAAGTCCTCTGCTTCCTCCTTCTCTCCCTAGCTGTTGTTTCTTGCTCGGTCCCAAAGAAAAGATCAATTCCTGCCTCTCCCCGTGATCGCAAAGCCAGGCTGTATTGCCTACTTGTTTTTCAAACAAGCATCTCTGCGTGTTCTCCCCACGTTGCCTCTCAGGCTTCAAAGCAGCCCTCCAGAAACATCCACAAAGCTCTCTGCTTACTTCTTAAAGCCTTTGCAACGGTATCCGCAAACCCTTGAGGAGGGCTAATGCTTCTGAGGTGCTTTGGCTTTGAATATTAAACAAACTGTAATGTCATTTTTTTTTCCTTGTTCCTTCATTTCCGTATCTCCTTTCATGTACTCTAACTTTTTTTGGCAAAGACTGCTTTTTGCCCTGACCCAGAGCTAGTGCTTGTGGGGCCCTTTGATAATACAGATCATGAATAAGAGCTTGTGTGCGTATTTGGCACGGCGTTTAAAGAACTATTGCAGTTAAGTGGGCCATTAAGTTATTAATGTATCTGTTTTATCTTCCACAGAAGCTCCTTGTGCTACTCCACTGATCTGTAGCTTTGGAAGGCCAGTGGACCTGGAGAAGGATGACTACCAGAAGGTTATATGCAACAACGAGCACTGTCCGTACAGCACCTGGATGCACCTTCAGTGCTTCTATGAGTGGGAAAGCAGCATTCTCGTCCAGTTCAATTGCATTGGCAGAGCCAGGAGCTGGAATGAAAAGCAGTGTCGCCAAAACATGTGGACAAAGAAGGGATATGACCTGGCTTTTCGCTTTTGCTCCTGTCGGTGTGGGCAGGGTCATCTGAAGAAGGACACTGACTGGTACCAGGTGAAGCGAATGCAGGATGATAAGAAGAAAAAATCAGTGCTGGAGAAGAGCACGGGAAGGTCAATGGCAGAGTCGGCGGAAGAGGCCAAAAAGGGCAGGCCAGCCAACAAGCCGCAAAAAGGCTTGAGTCACGACCTCCAGCGAAGGCACTCGATGGACAGGCAGAACTCCCAGGAGAAGGGTGTCATGGGCGGCAGCTACGCCGTTCGCTCGCCTTGTGTCTCTCCCGGCCAGTCCCCACCCACTGGCTACTCTATTCTTGCCCCCACACATTTCAGCGGCCCTCGTTCCTCGCGATACTTAGGAGAGTTTTTGAAGAACGCCATTCACCTGGAGCCCCATAAGAAGAACATGGCTGGCGGGGGCATGTTCAGGAACGCGCATTTTGATTACGGGGCAGCTGGCTTGCAAGCACATAGATCAGGACACTTTGATGCCCCCGTGCAGTTTTTGAGAAGGCTTGATCTCTCTGAGCTGCTTACTCACATCCCCAGGCATAAATTGAATACTTTCCATGTGCGGATGGAAGACGATGCCCAGGTGGGCCAAGGGGAGGACCTTCGGAAGTTTATCCTTGCTGCTCTTAGTGCCAGCCACAGGAACGTTGTAAACTGTGCGCTATGCCACAGGGCGCTGCCAGTGTTTGAACAGTTTCCGCTGGTGGATGGGACCCTGTTCCTTAGCCCATCGAGACACGATGAGATTGAATATGATGTTCCCTGTCACCTTCAAGGTACAGGTTGTCTGTCAGTCATGCTAGGCTTCATTAAGTGATGGAACTGCCTTCTGTGCCCTGCCCCTCCCATTTTAGATTTTCATCCTGATTCTGCATTTTTAAGCAGTTCTGTAAAGCTTGAGGTCACGTTCGAATTATCATGTGGATCAGATTGAAACACTTAGGAAGGAATTACAAGGAGCAAATGCCATGTAGAAAGATCCGTGCCTTGTGTTTGGGTTTACAATTAAGAGATTTCTCATCTGGTTTCTAGGTAGACCGTGGGAAGGTTTTCCAGCCACTCTGTTCTGCAGCGCGTGCATGCTGATTTATCCGTTGTGAGCTTTACTCCAAGATATGCATCAACCTTTTAAATTTAAGCATGCTGTGCTGCAGCATGGGTGAGAGTTATATTTGTACCACTGGTGAGATGAGATGCCTCTCATTTGCTTTCAGACTAGAGAATATCAGTTTTGTTTCACAGCAAACTATTTTTCTTTCTTCATATGAAAAGGACTATAGTCTGGCCTGTGTTAACATTGGCCTGGAGAGGTTGGATGTAGTAAAAGCAAGCTTTTAATACAGTGGGTTGAAGTAGCAAGGGTGTAGTGGGGGGTTTAGACTTATTTCCAAACTCCCACCTGTTTGGACTGCACCCTGATATGTCCCATCTCCGAGCTGAGTTGAGACCAAGGCATCCAAGGCATGTATTAACTTTTCTCCTCCTAGAGAAACAAACGTGTGTGGGCTAGGATGAGCTTCAGCTCTTCCTGAAAGCTGTGTCCCAAACTAAGTGATCAGGGTGGGACATGGCAAAACACGCCTGTCCTGCAGTCTGCTGGCAGCCAGCATCGCTAAAATAAGTCAGAGAAAGTATTTGTAGTTTGGTGTTCAAAAACATAGAATTATATGTCGAAAAGTGTGTTGGAAAGGCTTTAACAAGAGGTATCTTAACATTTAAGTTTCTCTCCTTTCAATAAAATATGTTATATCCCATGCATGGTCATAATACGTGTTATGTAACATTCCTTTGCTCAACAAACTTTGTAATTTTTTTTCTTTCCTTAAATCACTGTGCACTAAGTCACTAAACTGTATTCATGCTAACATTGTTTCTGTCTTGCCTAATGTACTTTAAGGAGAAAAAGTGATAGGCAAATATACAAGCTAAAAAAGCTCCAGGATAAACAGAATATATGTATGTGAGAAAACAATGCTTATTTCTTTGGTGGGGAGGCGTGCACAATGTGCTTGTGATTTTTATCAGTACTAATAGCTGGTTTAGTAATAGTGAAACTCGTCACTTGTTAACATTTGCCACTAAGAATGAAACTCTGCAAAAATTTTTTTTTTAATTAATTGCTCTTTACCCATTGGACGATACATCTGAACAACTTGCTCAGGCAAGATACCATGAATAATTACTTGTTAAAATTTTCACCTCTTTGTCCTGGGTAAAATGGTTTATTATCAGAACTACTCTTTGAAATGAAATTAAGCTTGCAAGGTGCTGTTCCAGGGTGTTATTTTCTCTTCAGTACAGAAAATCACTTCTTTTATTTCAGGCATGTTTAAGATATCAGGTGCCTCATTTCCTATATAACAAGGATCCTGAAAATTAAGCGGTGGGGGAATGCAGTACTTTAATGTGTGGGAGGAGGGCAGATCTTCAGATGAGGAAAATTATTTTATCTTCCTGCACAACATAAAACTTCAGTGCAAGAAATTATTTGAAAGTCACCAATCTTGAGTGTTCACTTCAGGAACAGAGTTTATTATATTTGCACTTCAGTCTCATCACATCACATTTTCTACAACTGAACACGCCAATGTGGAATAACTCAATTTTTACCAGCTCATACTAGCAAGTTTATTTCGTATATATACTTTAAGAAGGATCTGGGTTGACTTCTCATTTTTCTAAAATAGTTGACTTAAAAACCAAAACAAGTTAAGAACTAAACCATTAGTTTTAAAGTATCTGGTATGGACTAATCATAAATTGTTAATATTTTATTCCCTTTTATCTAGAAAGGTTACAAGATGTGTGTCTTTAAATTACAGGTTGTGGTGTGTTCAGTACTTGGATGCTAAAGATAACAAATTGCATTCCAAAATAAACACATATTATATGCAGTCCTGTTTTGTAGCTGATCTGTAACTGCAGTACTTCGTAACTTTGTCTTGTGTAGCAGTACAAAGAATGGTATATTACAGAATTAGTACTCTCTGTCAGCCCACTTTCAATAGCCAACTATTAAACTACAAATTGAATCAATCGCTACAAATCAGGCATGATCTAGATGCCAGCTCTTTGTAATTTCTGTAGGGCTTTTTATTTTGTGTGAAATTTGCATCTTGGATTTTGCATTGGTGAGTTTAGTAACATCTATGTAGAGAAAATATTTCATTTTCAAGTCTGAGCCGCTTGATTTTTATGGAAGTCGATATAACTCAAGTTTTGGAAGTCAATATAACTCAAGTTTTGAAAGTCATTGTGCGTACAGAGCTAAGGTCATGATAGAGCTCGATAGATTTGTAATTCTGAATGGCATGTTAAAGTCTGTGTATGTGTGTTATATAATGTTTTTAAATATACTTACTGTAAATGAATGCTCAGGAATAAGTACATGAAAGAAAATTGCTCTTCTGGCTGTTGCTTTTTTTCCATGAGGAATTATTAGGTCCTTAGTTCCCTCTTTGCTGGAAGATTTTGGCAAGTTGTTAAATGAATCTGTACCCAGCTTGCTAATAAGCTTCAACACCTCCACTTTTTCTGTCAGGTGGGGATGAAGCTAGGGCACAATCCTGCTTTTGGAAACACTGCAGCTGATCATATAGCTTAACCTGGCATCTGTTCATGGAGCTTCAGCAACTCCTTTTATAAAATATTTTGCTAAGGTCTACCAGCAAATGCAGGAGGGGAGGGCAGACAGGGTGGTGACCAATTCCTGAGTTTTGCATCCATGGAAAATAGCTTCAGTCAAGCCCTATGTATTTCTCATAGAGAAACATTTTTTACTTTATCATTCACCCTTTAACAAAAAAAAAAAAAAAAAAAAATTAATAATGTGTGATTTGTATCACTAAAGGGCAGATAACACATTGCAGGAAATGTCTGGTTTAATCTTCTGTTCTAGTCTCCTTAAGAAGTGTGTTTCCTGTCCACAGGAAGGCTTATGCACCTCTATGCTGTTTGTGTAGACTGCTTAGAAGGGGTTCACAAAATTATCTGCATTAAGTGCAAGTCCCGATGGGATGGAAGCTGGCATCAGCTGGGAACTATGTATACCTACGATATTCTGGCAGCATCTCCCTGTTGTCAGGTTAGTACCGTACGTAAATAAGACTGATAAGGTGAATTTCCAACTGATGATAAGTAAAGCCAAGGTTTGTGTTTCTCTTCTCCCTTCCCTTCTTCCATCCTTCTTTTCCAGCCTGTACCTATGAGTGCAATACAAGAAAGCTGACCGAGGCCCTGTCCCTTTGTCTTAACTTAGGAGGCACAAAAGCCTATAGCTAGACAAAAGCCAGTGCAATGGTCAGTGGTTAATACTTATGTTTTTACATAAGGCCCCTTTAAATGCATGCACAAATCTGATGCTTGTGATGATCGCTAGCAAGTACGTTTAGCATCAGATGCAATTCCAGTAGTATTTTAATAACAATTGCACATTTTTAGAAAGTGTTTTCTGTATTCAAGTTTCTTGTAGTTACTTGAATTGTGTTTTATCATGAAGATAATTGTAGCGAAAAAGCCAAAGGAACAGAAGAGGTCTAAAAAGTCTTTGTGCTTGGAGATTACCCAGCTCTCCTTAATCTTCGCTGTGACTGACTGACGATGGTACTCTGCCACAGCCTGAAGCACCTTAGCTTTCATTAAATGCTCACCAAATCCGTACCTTGGGTGAGAAAGATCCAAGGCCTGGGGTTACTCCAGAGTAGGCACGTGCCTGAGGCAGCAGGGTGGGCAGCGTCCGAGCGAGCTGTCCATGTGATGGGCAGAGCACTTTTCTTGTGCAGGTAGCGCTTGGAGAAAGCACTGGGCGCCGTTTGTCTGGCTCAGTGGTCCGCCTGGGATGCTCAGGAGCAGGCGGTTGCCTTTGGACATGCAGGTGGTGTTACTGGGTGAGAACAGGAGCCTCGCAAAGATGCATTCGTTCAAAGTATAATCACTTCATGGTATTGTGCGTGCTTAAGAGCAATCTGAAATACAGTTTTGTCAATATGCAAAACGCCATTTAATTTCAAATTTAACATATTTACCGAAATGTGTTGCTCAAAAGACAAGCGGTGTTGCTGCTACAGAAAAAATGACATTAATAGCAATTATAACTAAAGACAGAGATAGTACCTCCAAATTTAGTGCCTCTTGAGATTGTAACTTTTTTTAAAAAAAAGGGACTTTTAAAGATAAAACACTGATGCTGACTTGCTAGCTCTCTAAAAGCCAGCAAATTTAAATCTGAATTGCTTCTGCTGAATGTACAAGACAAGAATTAAGGTCTCATTATACAAGAGCCTTAATTATATGATTAATGGACAGTGTGACAGTACATGGTAACTAATAGAATTGACTATGAAATCATTAGCTGCAGTGACTGTGATTGCCAGATAATATGCATTATTGTTTCACCGTGATTGTTACAGATGATTCTGTGCATACAGAGGAATGACATTTAACTATGGTATATAATTTTACTCTGAACTGCCTTGCTAATTTCTATTTTGAATAATTTCTTACCTTATTTCAAAATATTTGATTATGCATCACAAAGGTGCATGTAGGATAATGAACTGCAGCCACTGTCAGATTACTGGCAGCTAGCTTATATGCTGGACAGTAGCAAGGGGGAAAACACCACTTTGGTTAAGAAAATCGTACAAATCCATGCCCTACTAGATTGTATTTCTAGAATTTCTGCTTTTCAAGCAGAGCAGATGGCAGTGGAGCTGATGGTTTGTTTCTTTTTGAGTCTTGTCTCAACAGTAATAGTACTTTAATAATTTCTGCCTTTTCTCATCCCAGGAAAATTCCTTAAATCATGATTGCCATAGAAAACAATTTTTTGTTCTTTTCAGTGAAGAGCTGAAGCTTTCATTAGCGTGTTGGGCTGCAAGGTTAAGCTATGATACAGCTCAGGCCCTGGCTGCTCGTTTGCCACCTTTACTCTTAAACTCCTTTACGGTCTCAAATCCCTTCTGCTTCTCTTGAGTATTTCAAACGGCCTACTGAGTTTTCACACTACTTGTTGCTTTCTTTACATCAAATGGGCTGGGTTTCTCAGCTAGATTTCTTCTGAAGACTTACCTTTTTTGTTACTGCTGAAGATTAATAGCTCTGTCTGGCATCACCCTTGACCTTTAATTGTTTCTCATACCTACCCTGTTAATCTTGGTCCTTTCTCAGTTGGATTTTGTAGAATGGTTTGTGTGCTTGAAGCGATGTTTAGTTTGTATAACCTGATACGTATTTTAAATGTTTAAATACATACCTAAAGTTGTGCAATACCATGCCATGCTGCTGAAGTAGATTGCGTTATACATTTGTTAAACCAAAAGATTAAAATGCTGATACATGTCGTAGACAGATCACGTTCAAATGTCAACCTAAGTGTTTGAATTGCATGGTACAAATGTAAAATTTCTCTCTTCGCTTCAGGGCTTCATTAATGATTTATTGAGACTGCACTGCTTGTGTTGGGGTTTGAGGAATTGGTTCAGAGATTAATCAACACAAAACAATCGTGTGTGTATATAGACTTCAAAATTCTCTACCTCCTGTCAGTCAGAGTGGGAGGTAGCTTACTCTCCCGAATTTGGTGGTGGTATTTCATGTGAAAAGCATTGTGTATGCTTGCAAGTTGCCAGACTGGGTGAGGAATGTCCTTACCAGCAGATCCCATTACTGCCAGTTTCCTAACTTACCCCCTCTCCTGCCGGGGAGGGCAGGGCAGGGGGCTGCGTGCGATGCTCTCTTTTTCAGAGGCGAGAAGCAGAGGTGAGTTTGGTTATTTCAAAAGGGTTTTTTTGTTTGTTTCTTTGTTTTTTACAGGCTCGACTGAACTGTAAGCACTGTGGGAAGCCAGTAATAGATGTACGGATTGGCATGCAGTATTTCTCTGAATACAGCAACGTCCAGCAGTGTCCTCACTGTGGAAATCTAGACTACCACTTCGTGAAGCCATTTTCTTCATTTAAAGTTTTGGAGGCTTATTGACGAAAGCTTTGCTTTAGTAATAGCTATTTTATGGGTATTTCAACTTTATTACATATCTTTTTATAGGATTCATTCTGTGATGACATTTAATTTCTTTTCTAACTGAAAGAGCAGCTTCTTTGTCTGTGTACATATTAATATGTATATATACATGTTGTTAAAACCAGAATTCTCCTGACAAGATCTCTGCGAAGGTTGGAGGCAAGCCAATTTAATGGCCTTTGAATATATCCCAAGAGTGGGGTAAAGTTCAGCTAAAAATGATTTTTTTTTTTCCCTATAATTGTAATACAGTTTATAGGAAGGGTGTGGGGAGACATACAGGACAGAGAAATACGTCCAGTCGGAAAGTGGGTAATTGTGTAGACTTGTTGTCCCTCCTTGGTGGAAATGGGAAATCCTTGGAAAGAAGCCGTCCTGTTACTGTTGAATTCATTCAGCCTTTCGCATTGGTTCCCACGGCGCAGGAGCTGGCCCTGCGCTGCCAGTCGCCTCAGCAGGCTTTCTTTCAGATTTCCCGAGACGGGGTAAACTAAGGTATTGTGACAAGTGAATGTAAATGTATGCCAGAAAATGCAATCTTGAAATGAATTAGTTTTTTTTGGCATAGCGTCTTCCTGCCGTGTGCGTTTGACGTGCGTTGCCCTCGCTGACGGACCATACGGCAATAATGCTGCTTCCACCGGGGCTGTCGTGCCCAGCCAGGTCATCTGCTCATACCAAAACAAGCTGGAGATCTTAAAATGCTTTATTTAAAGGTGTTTCTTCACAGACGTTTTAGGGAGGGAACAGGCTGAGCTGAATGGGGATGTGTTTGTATGTGTCTGCTGGGGCTGAGGCTTTGCTGCTTGCCGCAGACTGGTGTGGAAGGAGGACCATGAAGTGGGATCTGGGCCGTCAGACCTGTAAGAGCTGAGAGGTACTGAGTACGAAACATGGCATTGCTTCTTAAAACAGTTAATTGCTGCACCTTTGTCTTTCAAAATTGCTTCAGTCCAGGATCTAAAAACTTGGAGACTTTTTAAGAAAGCAAACTTAGCGGATTTCCTTTCTACATGCCTCTCTGCTGTACATAATAGACTATGCATTAGGCAGCGAATTTGTGTCAGAGGGCTTGGCCCTGTAGACTCTGCAGTTGTTTCTTGGTTCCCACTTCTCCCTTCTTTAAATAAAGTTTTTAAAATAGGTCATTAATCTTTTGCTTGGTTTCTCAAGCCAATTGAGATTTAGGAGAGATTTTTTTTTTTCTCTCTGTTCTCCATAGTGTATTTATGGAGTGTTTGTCCACTCGAGAGGTGTGGGTTTTGTTTCTGTTTACAAGGTGGGATTATTTTTTGTTTCTTCTGAAATTGTTTGGTTTTCCCAAATTAGAATCTTTTTAAAGAGTGTATCTGTTGAAATCATGATCTTGAAAATGTCCCTGATACTCTGCCACCCTGGGAAAGAAAACAAAAAAGTCAGAAGCCAAAAAAGTGTTTCACATGCTGGACTGAGAATTATGCTTTCTGCTGAGTTAAGAAATTAATGTGCACATAAAACTCAAACTGAATATCCATGCTTCTTTGTGCATAAAAATGCCAAGTTCACAGCTTTATTTCCTGGCTGTCTTCACTGCAGAGTTAGCTCCTTTTAGCATTAGCCACTCTTCTAGTAATACTCAAGCTGCACAGAGGGCTTATGTTGGCACAGATCACTTACTGCTAGCTTGAGTGGTAGTATCCTTAGAAGCCAGCCAGCTCACGTTAATGATTTTCACATCTGGACTGTCCATCTTGTACAGTTACACTGGTGATCCGCTGCTGGTCTGAACAGTGATGTTAGCAGGCTGTGGTAGGCTTCATCACTGGTGCTCCCCTCCTTCTGTAGTCGCTCCTGTGCTTGGTTTTGGGTCTGGAGCGCATTCTTGGGGTTTTGTACAGTTGTTCCCTGTTTGTGACACTTTTGGGAAAACCTGTTTCCTTTTCAAGGAGAATTATGGGAAGGACTTGGGGGACTTCTTACACTGTCCTGGTGTGGCTACCACAAACCAAGTAACACCAAGCCCCGTTGCAGTGGGACCAGCAGTGTAACCATTGCCCATAGGAGCAGGAGCTGGTCCAGGCATACCTGGGCTGGAAGAAGGTGTCTAGCAGATAAAACCTGGTTAGCTGTGCAGTGTAGATGGAGAACAATCAAGTTAACAATTTGAATTAACTCCTCAGGGAGGATAGGCCCTTCAGCTTTGATGGTGCATTGAGCAGCCTGATGGAGTTAGGGTGACTAACAGGGTTTGGAGTTGCATTGCCTGGCAGAACAAGACCAGACAGACAACGGCTACGCTATTCCAGCGGCCTAAAATCACACAGCAAAGACAAAGCTCCTGTAATGAGAAAAATTAAAGCATGCATCTGTAACTGTAGTGTTTGGTGTTGAGTGCTAGTCACTCATGCCATCAGTCTAGGGTGTTGATTCCCACATAGGCTACGTGGTGTTGTGTACCCACTTTTTCATGCATTTGGTGAGGGGAGGTGTCACTGTACAATGCACATGGTAGAGGAGAAGTGGGATCTGGAGTCCTTCTAAATATTTGTTCATTTGTTTTCCTTAGAGTAGCTTAATTTATAATTCTGGTCTTTAAGTACTTAGATGCCTCTCCAGACATGTATGTATGACAATCGAGAATGAGTAGACATGGAAAAAGGGAATTTGCCCAGCTTTAAAAACAGAAGAGTATGAAAGGTTGTACAGCATATTCAAGTCAAAACTGAGAATGCAGCAGACTGAGAAAATGGGAAGGGGAAAGCATATTTAAAGTCTTGGCAGTCACAAGGAGTTATGTACAAATCTATCCAAGAAAACAGTTTAGTTCTCCATCAGCTTTTGCTTTTAATTCTGCTGTTAAGTAACTCTTATCTACTGCTTGAGGAAATGCCTATTTTCTTGCAAAACACATCTCGCAACTGGAGGCTAGCAGCACATGTACCACTGTAAAAATGATCCTCAATGGAAACCAGCTGAGCTACAGAAAGATTCCTCTGAACTTTCACTCCAAAGTAAATTGTCCCTAATTTGTAGAGAATGCTTTCCCTGCTTCTTGCTGATACTGAAAACTGCTCTTGGGTTACTGCAAAATGCGGTATTTTTTGTAACACTCATCAGATTCCAGTCAAGCAGTCAGGCCCACCGTTGGGCCATGAGAGTTTCAGCTGGGCTTTGCATAAGTACAAAGGTGGAGGTAACTTCTTTGGGACCTAATGGCTACCTCAGAGGTTAAACTAGACTGCAATTGGTTTGCTGTCCATCTTGACGAGCACTGGAAGTAGTCATGAGCTTTTAAATGTGTCAAAAGGGAAGTGATTTCCCTAGCTAGGGAGCTGCTTGCTTTGCTTGTTTGGCTAAAGTTTACTCTTCATCGCCTTTCATTTTTCTGATGCTGTGTGTTCTTTTAAATCTGGCCTGTGGTCAGATTAGATTGTGCCTGAAATATGTTTTGTAAATGAGAATACAGTCCTCTGGGTTTGGAGATTCATTCTACTCTTCTTAAGTGCACGATACTCCTTGTGATAGTAATAGGAGTTGCATGTGCAAATGCTTTTCTTTCCAGTAGTTAACTCTGTTTTCCATAGGAGAGGCTTGCATTTAGATAGACTTCATATTTTGGATGTGTAAAAATGAATTCATCCATCAGTAGGATGTTTAAAAGTAAATTTTGATAACTGTAACTAACACAATGGACATCTTTTACATGCTGATGCGTAATTTGACATCTACCAAGGTGATCAGCCTGAAATTCTTGTTCTGTCTAATGCTGCAGAGTCATTAAAGCTACAGTGTTCTGTAGCCAGCCCATAGACTAGCCTATAGTCTATTTGCATTAACATCTCCAGTAGTGAGCAGTGTATTCATAATGAATTTAGTTGGGAAAATAGGGAATATTACTACAAAGGAGGCATCTAACCCAGTTTCTTTCTTTTTAATTTTTTTTTTCCCATGTACTCTACATTTTGCTGTACCAGGTAACCGAGGACAAACATGTTGTTGTAGGGCCACTGGTGAGAAAACCCCTCAAAAATATACTTGTCCATAAAGGTTTCTTGTTGAGACATTCTTGGATTGCACTTTTGCAGATGGAAGAATATGTACATAGCAAATGAATGTTGATGAAATTAAAATAATTGGTTATGATATCATTTGCGTGTGCTGTTAGAGAATATTTTGTTGTGACTTCTCTGTATTAAAAAGTAATAAATACCAGACAGCTAACAGTGTGGGTTCTTCTTTCCCCCTTCTTCTCTTGACTAGTTTCTTACACCTGCTCTTGATAGACTTACTCTAGTCACCTTAAGTATTAAAGGGCACCGTGAAAACAGGTTTTCAACGTCAGTTAAAATGAAGCTTTGATGGAGTCATTTTGAAGACTGCTGTACTAAAAGGGGGCGTGGGGTGTGACGTGTCCCCTTGCAAAAGACAAGCCCTGTTCACTTTGTTGATGTTGGAAGTGCTCCTCCTGCAGCGTAGCGTGTCCTGCGGGAGCCATTTTGGGAAGGCCCGGGTGCTGCAGGCCGGCCATTGCCAGTGGGGATGAACAGAGGACGGAGTGCTGAATCCTTCACTTCCTGTGGAGTCTGTTAATGGAAATATGCCCTCTGGTGCCTAAGAAATATCAGACAGACTTCTGCAGGGGAGGATGCAATACGGTAGCACTAGGCAAAAGGGTTTGCCATGTTACGACTGAACGCTTCATCTCTGAAACCCCATTGCAGGGCAGGGAGCCTCAAATCCATGCTTCCTGCATAAGGTTTTCAGCAGTCTGACTAATCATCTAATCAGGCATTTTAGCAAGCCTTGCTCCATATGCTTACAGCGTGATTTTGCAGCCTTTGCATATTACCACAGAGAAGTTCAGGAAGGATGTAAATGATTAAGGCAATCCAGACTTACAAAAGGTAAAGCAAATACTGCCCCAGGGGAAGGAGGGCCACGGCTCAAGAGAGATGAGGTGTGATTTGGAGATTGGAAAC